GTTGTCACAAGGCCAATATGAGGTGGCAGAGCGGATGGTGAGCAAGGCCCAGAGGAGCTATGAGAAGAGGCTAGGAAGAGACGACAAGCGGACTTTGGCTAGCACATCAATGCTAGCTGAGGTGTATTTGGGAAAAGGGTTATGGGAGAAAGCGGAGTCGCTAGGGGTGCAAGTGATGGAAACAAGCAAGGCCAAGTTTGGGGTCGACCATCCTTCCACGCTGACGAGCATGGCAAACCTCGCGTCGACACTAACGAGCAACCCAAAGGGCCGGTGGGAAAGAGGCTGAAAGGCTAAATGTGGAGGTGATGGAAACATTTAAGACTAAGCTCGGGGTCGGCCATCCCCACACGCTAACGAGCATAGCAAACCTCGCATCGACATATATGAACCAAGGCCGGTGGAGGAGGCTGAAAGGCTAGACGTGGAGGTGATGGAAACTCGCAAAACCAAGCTCGGGGTCGACCATCCCTCCACGCTGACGAGCATGAACAACCTCGCGGTCACTTGGAAAAGTCAGGGCCGGCATAGAGATGCCCTGGTGCTGATGAAGTATTGCGCACAGACCCGGCAGCAAATCCTTGGTCCAGAACACCCGGATACTGTTTCGTCTTTGTCGATGGTGACCGACTGGACCAGCTAGAATAATGATAGGTATTTAACGTTTGTAGCGAGTGCTGTCCCTTTTGTGCCTCCCATAGTTCACATTAGCAGTCCGTGTGATACCCTGCATGTGGCATTTGCACAGTACGATGATGTGAAGGTCTAATGGGTAGGGATCCGCGCCTCGCTAAACTGGGCCAAACTAGGTCAAACGTATGCATTGTACATGAAAGTATTTTGCTGCACATTTCGCTCGGACGGGGTGGCACTTAGAACCCGCACCGTGCTGCAGTAAGACGCAACGTACGCATTCGCGCTGCTCGCTCCGCTCGTTCCCCCTCCTGAGGCCAGTTCGGCTTGACGGCCCACCCCCATCCCTGACCCCTGATCAAGCAAACGTTCGTTCCAGTTGCGCACAAGATATCGAAGCTTCCGTGGCTTCGTATCCGAAATACTCCACAACTAGGCGTGCAAAGGTACATCCCGAACTCGCGGCTACTGGCGGGAAGCGGGCGGGCCTGCCGGGGGACCCTACCCGCAACGCAGCTCCAGGGAGCAGAGGCCCCTGAAGCCCACCCAAGTCCACTTTGCTTCCGTTCGTCTCCCCTCTCCCACTGGGTGCTTGGCAGTCTGGCCCTTCGACACGCAAGGTGTCGACTTTTTCGGCCTCGTCGGTGACAGCGAAAGGTGCGGGCCAGATTGGCCGCGTACTGGGAGTCTATGGCGCGGATGGCGGCTCGCCAGGCGGCAAAGGAAGCACAGCGACAACCTCAGGGTTGAGGATGTGTTCGCCCTCCCCGCATGCGGGTTGCGCCGCACTGGGCCCGGGCGGACCCTAAGAGCACCACTGATCGTGCCGATTTCATGGTCCCGCAACGGGTACCCCGCACCGGACAGATACACGACAGGATGCCTCGACATGTTACAGTGGCGGGATTAGGGCCTGTGCACGAACGTGGAGTGATCGCGCGGCAGCGTGCACGTACGCCATGTCGCGCGCCTCGCGTCGTTCTCCGCGGCGGCTCGGCGCTGGCTCGCGTGAACCACATTTGCCGATTCCCAGAGCGACGGAACGATGCACTTCCTTGGTTAGAACATCGTGACAAGGGTGGTACTAAACAGTACTTTGTTCAGGATTGGCTTGTTCAGGATACTCCGCAGGCAGATGAACAAGGAATCCATTTGCCGTTGTCTATACCGTACATTGCGAACCAGCCTTGCCGATCAAACGACGTCCGCCTGGGCGACGTGGTCGTC